AGCCATCCCCAAGCCTCCAGGGCAGGGGGGGAAGCAAAGAAAAACACTCAAATCCAGCCAACAGCTGTTTTTTCCCCCCCCAATACATCACGACAGCATCACACAGCATCTATGCGTTCCTGCGCGCAACCGCTCCGCCACTCAGCGGAGGGGCCAAGGAGACGCCAGTGGAGACCTGGGGAGGAGGCCGGGGCCCTGCCAGCGGGAAGAGAGGGGAGGCAGGATCCACCACCGAAGCCACCTAGCCCTCCACCGAAGTCCTTACCACGTACTCCATCGCCGGCGGAGGGCAGGGCAGGCCCTGGGCAGGGAACAGAAACACACAGCCCCTCTCTTGGTTCAGGGACAAACAGGTAGTTAGCCAGCCCTGCCCCAGACCGCCGAGGTGGTGGCCCTGGCGCCAAGAGACAGACCCTGCTCCTCCTCGCTGACCGCAGGCGGATGGGGCTGTAGCAGCCATGCAACACACTGCCGACACACGGGGCGAGAGAGCCAGGGAAGCCTCCTGCTTCCCATATGAGGGAGGACGGAGCTGGGATGTGCTGGGGCAGGAGCACGAGGCCGAGCCTGGCTCTGCTCAGACCTTGCCCACACCGGCAAATGGTGTCAGGGACCAAGAGTCACTCCACGACCCAAGAGAAGTCTCAGAACTGATCCCTGCCCAGCCCCAAAACCGGTGCCCAGAGGGCCACACGCAAGGCGGGGAGAACAGAGGCAGCCCAGAGGGCAGAGCTGCTCCCTCCTGCCCACATGCCACCCCACCGCAAAAGGACCTGCGGAGCCCCCGGGGGCTGCGGCCCTCTCCTCCCCAGGGGAGCGGTGAAGAAGGGAGTCGTGGAAAGAGGCTACGAGAGGGGAGCCAGGAGGGGCAGGAAGTTCTGCAAGGGGAAAACAAGGCAAGCGAAGCAGGAGCAGCTCCGGAGCCACTGCCCTTCCCACTCCCACCCCCGGTGCCCAGCCGATGCGGTCAGGGCCGGGCCAGCCGAGCAGTGCAGGGCAGCAAACATGATTTACTTCCTTGCAGCAATCATGCCCTTATCTGGGGCCTGCGAAGGCAGCGCCGGAGCCCAGGCGGGCGCCAACGCGATTAGCTCGGGAGGCAGCGAGATAAGGAGGGCCCCGCTTGGCAAGCGCAGCAGCGCAGACCGGCCCTGGGCAGGGCCCGGCAGTACCGTGCCAGGTCACTCGCTGCCGAGCAAAGGCGGCGACGAGGTCCTTTGGACGCTGGGGACCGAGGCTGGCGGCAGGGAAGGAGGATCAGGACCGCGACCTGGGGTGCTCAGCCTCGCCGAAGCCTCCTCGGGGCCCAGCTGTGTCCCCCGCGAGGAGGGGATGCTGCCCCACAGAGCTCCCGGGGGCACAGGCGGCCCAGCCATGGTGCTCCCCCACCAACAGGCTACGGGTGCGTCCTCAGTCCCCGCTTGGCTGGGAAGACACAGCGTTTTGGACCCCTCTGGAACAGGCTGAGGCCAGGGCTGGGAAGACACAGCGTTTTGGACCCCTCTGGAACTGGCTGGGGCCGGGGTGTCCCCGGGGAGAGCTGCCGA